TAATCGCCCATTACTGCTGCTGTCCATTAAACACTGAATTAATCGCCCATTACTGCTGCTGTCCATTACTGCTGCTGTTTGCGGCTGTAAAAGCATCCACAAAAAAGCCACTTGACCCACTTCCCGGGGCAATCACTAGTAAAGCACCGAAGGTAGGTCTCAAGGGAACGATTCACCACCTCTGTCTGTCCATCGGATTGTGGATGATAGCTGGTGGAACGATGGAGTTTCGTTCCTTGCATCCGGAAGTATTCAGACCAGAAACGGCTTATGAAAGCTGAGTCCCGATCAGAGATAATTGTCTTGGGCATGCCATGTAAACAGGAGACCTCCTGAATAAAAATTTTGGCCACTTGTGCTGCAGTGTATGGATGGGATAGTGGTGCAAAATGCGCATACTTGGACAGCTGATCCACAAAAACAACAATGGCTGTCTTCCCATCGGAAGGAGGTAGACCAGTAATGAAATCCATAGTTACCTCATCCCACACTTGTTCCGGGAGCGGTATAGGCTGTAACAGCCCAGCCGGGGACTGATTGTCATATTTATGCCGTTGACATATCGTACACGTGGCAACATACTCCCGAGTCTGTCTCTTCATTCCCACCCAATAAAAATGAGAGGATACCCTACGATAGGTTCGTAGGATGCCTGAATGTCCCCCTACTGGAGAAGCATGAAAAAGCTCTAAGAGGGCCGGAATGTGGGTTGAGTTATCCGGCAACACCATTCTGCCCTTGTGCATCAGAATTTCATCAAGGGAGAAACCAGGTGGGACTTGTTCCCCATTCAAAATCTGGTTTCTGATCTTAGTGAGGCTAGCATCATTAGAGGCTTCCTCCCTCAGCTGAGTCATAAATGGATAAGTGAGCTTAGAAGCTACCATCTGACAACACTCATGTTGCCTTGACAAAGCATCTGCAACCAGATTGGATGGACCTGTTTTGTACTCTATTGTGAAGTCAAAGCCTAGCAACTTATATAGCCACTTTTGTTGTACCTCGTTCAGAGCAGATTGTTCTATTAGATATCTTAAGCTTCTTTGATCACAGCGAATGGTAAAAGCTCGACCCAGCAAGCACCCCCTCCACTTTTGCACAGCCAAAACAACTGCCATTAACTCCATAATACGTGGATTTACCCTGGGCCAGTGGTGAGAGAACTTTGCTGAAATAAGCAATGGGCTTTTTGTCTTGTAACAATACTGCCCCTATGCGTTTTCCTGATGCATCCGGCTCTACTACAAATGGTTTAGAAAAATCTGGCAGGGACAAGATGGGAGAGGTCATAAGGGTCATCTTCAGTGTCGTGAAGGCGTTCTCCACTTCTTCCAACCAATGGAAAGCATTCTTCTTGAGCAAGTCTGTTAGTGGGGCTGTCATAGTGCCGTACCCCCTAATGAACCGCCTGTAATACCCAGTAAGGCCCAACAAACCCCTAAGATCCTTGACAGTCGTGGGCTTGGGCCACTGCAACATACAATTTATCTTGTCTGGATCAGCTCTGACTGTGCCTGCTGTGACAATGTGTCCCAAATAGTGGATTTGCGTCTGTCTATAATCACATTTTGACCTTTTAGCATACAACTGATTGGCTCTATGAATGTCAAAGGTGGAGTGCAAATGCTGCATGTGAGACTTCCAATCCGTGCTGTAAACTAAAATGTCATAAGAAAACACTAGAATAAAACGCCACAAATACGGACGTAAGATCTCATTCATTAAGGACTAAAAAGTAAACGGGGCATTAGTGAGGCCGAAAGGCATCGCCAAAAATTCACAGTGGCTCTCGTGCGTCCTAAATGTCGTCTTATAGATGTCTTGAGCATGTACTCTAATTTGATGGTACCCTGCCCGTAAATCTAATTTGGAGAAAATCTTAGCCATGCCAAGCTCATCCAGTAGTTCATCAATTACAGGTATTGGAAACTAATCCCGGACTGTAATTTTATTTAGGGCATGGTAGTCAATGCAAAAACGCCATGTGCCGTCTTTCTTCTTAACCAAGAGGACAGGTGCTGAATACGGACTGTTACTAAGCTGTATCATGCCTTTGTCCCTGAGTTCCTTCACCAATTTTTCTATTTCTGTTTTCTGGCAATGCGGATACTGATAGGGCCGCACATTAGCAGGCGCAGCACCTGGTTTGATTGGAATCCGATGGTCATGCGACCGCACTGGTGGTAAGCCAGAGGGTTCTTGGAAAACATCTGAGTAATCAGTGAGCAGTAACTGCAGTTCTGTTTCCCGTGTTTCAGAAATAGTTTCAATGTCATTCCCGGACAAGGTTGAGCCTGGCTGACTCACGCCCAGGCTCGTTAGTATAGCTCCCTTCGCACCAATTCCCGCCTTCAGAATAAGGTTTAAGTTTAACTTCTCTTGTTGTATCGGCTCGGGTTCCCGACCCTTAAGGTGACACCACTTGCCTTGGCTCTGGAAATCCATTGTGAGGTGGGCCCAATCACATGTTACCGGCCCCAACTCTTTTAACCATTGAATCCCTAACACCACATCAGCCCCACAAAATTCCAACGGGTACAAATCCACTCGGATTTCACATCCTTGCATCTGTAACTTGAGCCCTTCGCATACTCCGTCACACCGGATACAGTTACCATCAGCTACATGGACGGAGAACGGGACGGTCAGTTCAACCGCTAGCCCCAACTGCCTAGCCAGCACAGCAGTAATGAAATTCAGAGTACTACCACTGTCAATTAACACCGCGACCTGTCGGCCCATAAGCTGGCCCATCACCCGCATTGTCTGGGCTGAATGTGTCCCCGTTATAGCTTGTAAGGAAATGGCCGGCACTCCCAGTTCCCCTAATTGGTTCGGTCCATCCTTGTCGTCGGCCCAGTCGTCTTCATAGTCCCTCAGGATCGATTTGTAAAGTGAATACCTGGTGTCGCTTACACTTGTGTCTACGGAAGAATTTCTCGTCGCAGTTGTAGCAGAGTCCTTGTTCCCTACGGGCCTGCATTTCTGACCATGAGAGATTTTACAGGGGAATGGTTTGAGTTGGTACTGGCATTGCCTTGGCGGCCAGACCTTCAGGACGACTAGGTGGAGTCTTCAATATCGGTCCTACGCCTCGATTTATTTTCCTCAAGCTATTTAGCCTGTCCTCATGGAGTCTAGCCAGTCTGATGGCTGTGGACATGGTGGTAGGTTGCATAGCCTTCACCTCTACCTGTATCTCGTCTCGGAGACCGCCAATGAAGCATCCTACAAGCGCGTTCTCCGGCCAGCCATGCACTCTCATTGCCAGTCACTCAAATGCAACCTAGTATTCCCGCACAGTGCCTACTTGCTGCAGCTTCGACAGAGCTTCATCAAAATTTTCGAAAGACGATGGTCCAAAACAGATATAGAGGGCTTCCGAAAATTCTTTCCACGTCATCTGAGGATGAGATCGTTTATACCACTGAAACCAGTTGAACGCCACTCTCTGATGGCTCGTGATCTCGTGGATATCAAAAGTATCACTCTGCTCTGTAGATCCAAGAAAGAGGATCTTCTCCACTGAAAGCAGGGAAGTCCACTCTGATCTTCCGGTGATTATTTCTGCCGAATTGGCGAGCACTGTCTTGACTGGAACCCATCACCATTTTCTTTGTTGTTTGATGATGCATTCATCTTCTCACACTGTGACATCACCGCTGAGATCGCTTCCTTGATCTCTCGCAGGTCGCCAGAGAATCTGTGCAGATCGACCGCAATTCGGTCCACTCTCTCTTCTACCGACACTGATCTGGTATGCGGCATGGAGAACCAATTCGCCAGATGAAATCTCAAGCTATGATACCAGAATTGATGAGAGCCTGCTCACCACAAGAGTCTTCTTCGAGGGAGACTCTACCTCCTGAAACCAGAAAATAGTGAGAGAGAGAGAGAAAGAGATTCTGAAAATGGCTTCCTCCTTTCTCATCATTTCATGGGCTATTTATAGATGCCGGTTACCCCCTTTTCATCCATAATGGGCCATCTTGTGAGGTCCCTGGGTATACACTTGTTTAATGGGCCTAAATGGGCCATTCACAGTTCTGTTATTATCAACAGCTCCATCAATAAGCCAAGACTGAACAAACTTCTATTGTCATCAAATTTGAATGTCAATTTGAACCTCTCTCTAATTGGACTTGAAGTTGAAGTTAACAGTAATTACTAGAAAACAATAGGGGGATTGTGTCTTGATGATAGTTGGAAGGACTAGATGTACAACCCACACAATAGGATTGCAGCCATCTCTTTTGAACGTCTACAACGAGTGTGTTCAGATGATATTTGTCATATGAATACAGGTTTTGTTTCAAAAAGAAAGGACCCCCTATAATCATGCATCAAATGCCAACAGAAATTAAAGAATGACAAGATAAAAGGATTATTTTATAATTGTGATTCATTCCCTGCCATTGTTGGAAGACACAACAGATACTTTTTATAGAAGGGGATTGGCCTGATGAAGCAAGTGATGATTTCACATGACCTTGTGGACAAGTAAAATTTAAGGAGGGAGTGTTAGGACTGATCAAATGTTTCTTATTTCCTGTTCTATTTAGGCAGTTAAATAGATTCTAGAGATCCACAAAATGTTAACTTACCTGCATAGTTTTGACTACAATAAGATTGTCATTTGTATTAGGCACAACTTTATATTTAAGTTTCTTGCCTTTCCTACTAATACATGTAGATGCTGTATGGCTTGGTGGTGGTGAGTATCAGATTCTTGAAGATTTATCTTTGCTAGGGCCACAGAGCACAGATCAAAATCAGATAGGGGTATACTGAATCTGGTTTGATAGACTAAACAGATATCTGAGTCCGACTCAAACAAATCAGATTCTATTTTGAATTGGAATAAATCCAATCCACTTTCAGCTCTAACGTTTGCACATGGTTTTCAGGGGCAGGTGAGTGCCATATCAGGAATAAATAGGACATCCATGTATCCCCTTCTCCCCTTCCTCTCTATAAGGCCTTATGAAATTCAAATGTCTTCCTCATCAAAGATCATAAAATATCTATATACTGATAATTTTTCTTAAAGGGTGGGTGAATCACATGGACAAAGAGAAACAAGAGTTCATGAATACCATTCTTTCTGAAGAGCTCTATAACACTGACCAATATCTATCCAAGAGGGCATAAAACCTTTGATCTTCACTATTTAATACAAGCCAATACATGTTAATCAACCTTTTGAAGCTTTTGAAATTCCAACTTGATTATTTCTTGTGTAATTATATGCATATAAGTATAATGTGTTTTAGGCATTATTTGCAAACCTTGGGTTCTTGTATCATTCTTTGCTTTTTTCCCTTCTAAGGTTTTCAGCATTCAAAGAAACCTATAATTATAAGATATCCTAGAAATTAGGAATGAAGTGTCAACATCTCCTCAATCACTCAATTGAGCTGAGTGGATCTCATTCATTAGAGATACAGAAACAAAGAAGCTGAGTGGATCTCAATTGAAAGTTGGCTCTAGAGAACATGGACACATACATGCAAAAGCAGGTGAAAAAATATTTTTTTTAAGAGCTTAATTTTTAGACTTATGTCTTAGTAATTCAAATCCAAAAATTAAACCTAGAACAAGTTTGATAAACTGCCTTTACTGAAGAATGGTTTCTTATTTGTTATGGGTTATACCTCCAAGAGTCCCTTTCCTGTTGCTATTTCAACACTGATTGCCACTGCAAATCCAACCATTGCAAGGCGGCCAAGCCATATATCCAAACCATTGCTTTCTTTTGTACTCTGCTCACATCTTATGGAAACTGATGTTGCCTTTGATACAAGTTTCCTTTGGCAGGATGTTCTCCAAACCACTAGAGAAAAGTGTGGAAGAGGGAAAAGTGTCAACCTTACACCCTGCTAATTTGTTAATTATAAAGACAGATGAAATTAAGCAGTTATAATGTTTGAGAGCTGTAATCCAATCTAAATTTGTGGGAGACAACAATGAAAATTGACAGTGATACTTAAGACATCTTATAAAGTAGGTTGACACATCTGTCATGGAAACTGATCATAACAATACAGAGTCTAATCATCTATCAATAATAATAATATAAAAAAAATAAAAGTTAACCCAATGGCTATACAAGAAGGATTCTCAGTGAAGTAGTAGTTTAATTCAACGCCAAGAACATTAACTATACAGATTCATCAATTTTTATAATTTAAAACAAATAAAAACAATTTCATGAGAAGTTGATGGACCAATCTTGTTAAATGGTTTGGAAATAAATTAAAATGATAAGTACATCTATCACAAATTTTCTCAGTTTACATATATGCAAAGTAAATTAAATAATAATAGGAATGGTAATCAGGGCACACTTAGAATTGGAGAGCAAGAGATAGAGTAGGTCCAATAGGTAATAAAATGAGGGAAAGTGTATTTAAATGGTTTGGAAACTTGCAGAGAAAACTATCTACAGTATCAATAAGAAATGATCTGTTACAATTTGAAGGGGCTAGAAGAGCAGAAACAAGTTATAATGTGGTTGGACTAGGAAGATATGGTGGAATACTTTTAGGTATATGGCTACTGCCCATTCCTTTAATTCTGTAGAACCCATAGAGGTCAAATGCCAGAAATTTATTGCTTTTACCATTAGGTATCAAATAGTAGGGCACCCTTAACGACCATAAAGAATTAAAGATAGAAAAGCATGGTCTCTTCCCATTAGAATGAGCTGGTTTTCTGGAGTACCTAGAACTAGGCCAAGACATAATATATAGTTATTTTATAGAGAGTGGCTAATTGTAATGCCATTAGGTGCACCAAAGGTGAGATTCCTGAATACTAGAAATTGGTCTTCCAAATTCTAGATATAAGATTTCTCTTAAAGGGTAATGGCTTCTTTTGGACAAATTCCTTCTAATAGATGGATCCTAAGGGAACTTAATGCTATTGCTGATTCTTTGGCAGATTTGGGTAGGGATGGCAATGGGGCAGGGATGGGGCAGGTACCCGATATCCCCCCCCGATCGGGGTTGAGGATGGGGAATGAAGTCCCCTCCCCACCCCAACCCCGATTATATATATATCGATATATATATATATATATATATATATATATATTATGTGATATTATTTATATTATATATATCAAAATATATTGGAAATATTATTTATATTTTAAAAGTTTCCTTTATTTTAAGTAAATTTATTTTTCAAAAAATACTGTTAACTAAAAAATTTTGGGGATTCGGGTCCCCACGGAGAACCCATCTCCGTCGGGGATCGAGGATGGAGGGTAACTTTTGTCCCCAGCAGAGATTAGGGTCGGGGATGGGGATTTATTTCAAAGTCGAGGTCAGGGACAGGGAATATGATCCCCACCCTGTTGCAACCAGGTTGGTTCCTAATAAGGCTAAATGGTGTTGGAGAATAACTTCTGTGTTAAGAGAGACCTCCTTTGGTATCTAGGAGGATATCTTGGTCTCTTCATTGCTGCCAAAAGGGAGTGCACAAGGATCACATTTCAGGCACCACATTCCATTGTAATATTAGGGTGTCTTGGGTGGAGTAGTCCCACTCTGGGTCAGAACCTTGTTTTTAACCTTTTATAGAAAATGTTTTGGTTTTCACGAATAAAAGTTGGAAGCAATGATGCTTCTACAGTCTTGTATTTCATTTTGTCGTTTCTCTTTTTCTCTTTTGAGGATTTGTGTGGTTCAACAGTTTGGATGGTGTTTCATTTTCTTCAGTTCATTTTATCCTTTCTTGTTTTCTCTTTTTGGGGCTTATGTGGTTGAATGTTTTGGCTGTGTTCCTTTCTCTTTAGTGCTATATTGTTATGATAATTTTCTATTATCATCAGACGTCACAATCGGTACATTTTATTGTTTTTATTTTCCAAAATCTTTCATATCAATTACCTTCTCTGTGATGAAGGCAGTAAATAAACTCTGAGATAAAAATAAGGAATACCTCACCTCCATTAAAGGACTTATTCATTAATGGACCTAATTGATTCCCAGATCCACCCCTCATTGCCAAGATTACTTGGTGCATGCATAAGTCTGCTATCTGCTATATTAGTGAAATACAATGACTCGGTTCTAGTAAGTCCTAGTTATTCAAACTATTTTTTTTAACCTCAACAATTTTCATAAAAAAATCCACTTAATGAAGTATTGGTACGCTACCTGTAGTCGGTGGTTCAGAAGTTGAATAGCTACAATGAATTGTGGGGATTGGGGGTATTGCGGTCAATAACATTTAGAAAAATTCCTTATGCAGAATTCGAAAGCTAACTGTGCACTAAAACCAATCCTAGATGGTTTCTTCTTTCAAATGCTCTGTCTAACACTCCAAGTAATTTAAGTTGCAGACATAAATAAACTCAAAAATTCCCATCCCTTGAATAACGACTTGTTAATAGTAACAGTGGTAGCATCAATCTAAAACTATAAACCAGAAAATGCAGAGCCGCGCTTATCATAGACCTGCAGTAATTGGACAGAGATAGTGATGGCTACTATAATATAGTCAAAAGTCTTACAAAGAGGAGAGCCCCGAGTGAAAGATGTGGCAGCTCGCGATATATTGGCAAGGGGAAGTTGAGGAAGAACACGAGCTTGTACTGATTTTGAAACACCGACATCTGCATATAAGCAACCGTGGTTATATTTCCTCAGCTGTGAGTTGTGTGTGCGTGAGAGAGAGAGGGGGGGGAAGGATGTTCAACCGGGTGTAATTACCATGCACGGAGAGATAAAGAGAAGCAGAAACCAGAGCTTGGGCCATCCCTGAACCTGGAATTGGTGGAAAGGGAGATGCCGCCCCGCCCAGCCTCTCGATTCCTATCTATTCTTCCCTTCAACACTCAACAGTAATACCGTACACCAAAGACACGAAACATGACTTTCTTATCCACCCCGTTAACCATTATCCGGTGGAAAAAACGATCACGTCAAAGTTTAAGATTCTCTCAACATTAGCCACGTGGCTTTGTTATCCACCATTTTTTTCTAAAACTCACCATATGTTAGAGCACCGCTAATGTTCATTAATAGATATAATGATATAATGATAAATCAGCATAAATATAATTTTTATGATCAAACTGCCCTTAAATGGCATGTAAGTCTCATTCAGAGTTCGCATTCTGTGCACCCATGGGTGCATTGGATGCGTGAACCCACCGATCAGAGTTGACCACGTCGTCTGGGGCCAATCTTTTTAATATTAACGGGCCTTTGGCCGTTAATTGGAATATCCGGTTGAACCGGATATAAAAAGACAAAAACAAATCAAAAACCCCTCAATTCGAACCCTCCCTCTCATTTTGTTACTTCTCCACCGAATCCTACGCCACTCACAGGCGAGCATATCATAGCAGAAGGTGACCCAAATCATCGGCCATCGGTGGCAATAGCTCCGGCGGTACGTTCTCTGATCTCCTCCTTTTCTTCTTTTTCTTCTTCTTCTTCTGACATTTCTGTTTTCTTTTTTTTTTCAGCAGATCGAAGCCTTCTTTTTTCAACACCGGTGGGATTCTTCCAGCAAAAGAAGGTGGGTGAAATTCCGATATAACGAAGGTGGGTGAAACCTTCAACAGATCGAAGGTTTGGGATTCCTTCCCGTCCAGATGGTTTTAGAAGAGGGCAACCATCTTGATGAGTATTCAAATTTCTTCAATAAGAGTGCTCCTTCATCGTTGACTCTAATATTACAGAATTGCAAAGAGCACTTTATCTTGCTAAAATCCTTCATCGTTGACTCCCTATATAAACCCGATAGCATGGCCTAAACAAAATAAATGCAGGAATACGACACTAAAAATCCTTGCTGATAATGGCTAAGTTATGGATTAAATGCCAAATAAGCTGAAAGATTATTGATGAGCTTGAGATCAACTCAGTCGGGAGGCTGACCACACCGGATCATTCCGTGTGGTGGTGTATAGACCAGTAGAAGTCTCAAGTGTCAACCAATTGGGTAGAAGCATGAATCGCAAAACTAGGTTCGTCAATTACTGTCAGTCGGTTCGTATATTCTATAATGGCGTTATATACATAGAAATAGCCATTGGTATGTCGGTTTGAAGAAGTGGGGCGGTGCGGTGGGCCTCCTTCTAGAAAGAGCGGTTGCCTTTCCTTGACGCTTGTTGAGTCACTGTAGTTTGTAGATCACAGAAAACCCAATAAACCACAGGCCTTTGTCTTTCTAATTCAACGTCGGAGCATCATGTATATATAGCTGCAGAGCCAACTCTGTTTTTGCTCAGAACAAACCATTAAGAGAAGAAAAGAAAAAGCTTCTACTTGATCTCCTTATTCATCCTCTTCTTCTTTGATCGGAGGCTTGAAGCTTGTTTACATTTTACGAAGATGAGTATAGAAGTTTTGGATGGGCAACCGTTCGCAGCTTTGTGGAGGACGAGCAAACTTTTGAAGACTGTGTTCACGACCAATTCACTCAGCTCGGCACCAACTGGGATGGCTACCTCTCGTATGCAGAAATAGTGGCTTCCGAGTTAATTGACGCCGGTGTAGATTGAGCTCGCCGGTGCTTGTGAGATAGGGTTCGGTGGAAGAGAAACAAAAATGAGAGGGAGGAGAGTTTGAAATGAGAAACGATTCAACGTTTTTTGTCATTTTGTGTCCGGTTTAATCGACTACTTTAGTTAACGGCCAAAGGCCCGTTGAGGTTATTGTCACTGTCGCTTAACAGACGTGGTCGCCTCTCATTGGCGGGCTCACGCATCTAGTGCACGGGTGCACAGAACGCGAACTCTCTTTTTCAACATATTTATAAAATTATAAATAGCGAAAAAAATGTCTAAAAGAATTGGCTAATATTGTTTAGTCAGTCTCTTGTAATTTGAACTAAACATATTCAATAAGAATCTTCAAGCAACTTGAATCCCCTCTTGGATCTTCAAGCTTTCTGAAGTGAACATATTCGTTAGGCAATCCTTTAGGCTGTGTTTGGTTAAATGCAAATGCAAACATATTCATTTTGTTTGTTTGAAATCGGTGCAAAGTGTAGGTCCATCATTAAATGCTTCAACTATCTTATGCTCTAATGCCTAACTTTGGTCAAAAAGTTAATTATCAAAAGAACGCAAAATTGTATTCAAAAAATAGGTACAGTAATACTCTCTTCTTAGAATACAAAAGTGTTAGAAAATACATTTTTATTCTGATAATCATTATTTTTTTAGATATCAAACAAACGCTTGCAAACACGAATTGGGGTTCATAAATACCCCAATTCGGCATTTGTATCACAAACAAACGGAACCTTAATCAATCATAGTCTCACTATGTCATAACTCAGAGCAACTTGAATCCCCTCTTGGATCTTCAAGCTTCTTCAACCTAAACATATTCATTAGGAATCTATTTTCCAAAGGTTGAATGAAGACAAACAACCTAGTACAGGTTCAGGATCTCTATGTTCAAGTCCTTCAAGATCTATTTGTTCTCTTCTCTTGTTCTCTTTCTATTTCACATAAACCCTAGAAGTTAGAATAGAGATATAAAAGGGAAAGGAGGTCAAGAAAATTTTGGGACATAAGGGAAATTTTTAATTTTTTTAAACCTAAAACTTGGAACAAAATAAGCAACTCGACAAGAAAATTTTCGCCCACTAACTGGGTTGCCTAGTTAGACCATCAAGGTTTACGATTTTTTTGGGAATGTTGGGTATTGTTCAAACTAAACCCAAAAAATCGATCAGGTGACGATTCGAATAATTCGACTATCCAGATCAACGGTGGGTTGAAAATTTTGTTTGAAAGGGATAAAGTGACAATTGTGTTATGCAAGTAGATATGGAACAACATATGAGTTTGATTTGAATCAAAAGCATTCTTTTTTATTTGAAGATCCATTTTTACTTAAATATGTAAAATGGCCAGGAAATTTTTTACACTGAAATATTTTTGAGATATATTTTTGTTAGACAGTGTATGCTCTTAGCTCCAATCAAATTAATGTACACAAACATGTATCAGTAAATGAATAAAATACATTATTGTTTTATGTTTAAATTTGTGTTTCTGTGAATTACTCTTTAAACTGGACATTTATGAGACTCATATTAGTTTAGAATGTTCTCAACCATTGAATAGACTTGGGGAGTTTATATTAACAAGATTGACACTAGTGTGATACCAAATTGGTGGAGTATCTTGTCATATCTACTAGGGTTAAAACCCAAGAATAGCCAATGGGTGTTTAAAAAAAAACTGCACCCGGACCAATTTCGAGTTATGACCTGGACCTTGGAGATGGATGGACAAAACTGGAATGTTGCACTTAACCCCAGACTTAATTATAATACTACACTAGGTTTTTGAATGAATTGTCTTTGATGTGCCAACTAGTGAGATCCATCAAGGGTCAAATATTTGGGCATGTTGGAAAAATTTGGGAAATTATCTGAGTGGGTGATCATAGTGACATGATCAATCCCTTTGTCAAAGAAAGTGAATATTAGGGTTTAAACTCTCTCTAATATAAACCTAAACTATCGGTAGTGGATTATTGTACTTGAAATCTAATTTGCAAAATGTATTTACATTTATATTATTATTTTATGAAAAATGTTTGCAAAAGGTTTTAATCTCATAATCCATTCAAGTAGAGAGTGTGACATTGCATTTTCACAATCAAGGAGTAGATCTTTCCCTATTAGTAGTGTTTTGATGATTATGGGCCGAGATGTTAGGTGTAAGAGACCATTACAGAGCTGATTATCTGCTAGGCTTTGTCTTATATAAATCCATCATCCTTGGATCTTAATAGAGCGGATGAATCCAATAACCATTTATGTGTAAATGTTGGGCCCAAACTGAGCTCAAGCTAATAAATTAGGTACGGATTTCACTGCCCCTAAGTAGTGAATTCGGCCTAACCTTTACTAGAGGTGGGGCCAAACCTTTATAGACTTGTGTGAGACCTCTATGGGTACCATGCCATACAATATTCAGACCTCTATGGGGCCAAACCTTTATAGACTTGTGTGAGACCTTTATGGGTCCTATGCCATACAATATTCAGGCCCAAAATGGCCATGCTACACCTTGGGACATGAACCATTAGAGAAAATGGGCCTAAGAACCATTACTAATATGATTAGTTCAGTGATTTGTCATGTGATCTGGGTTGAAAATGGGCATGGATCTAGGTATGGAGCACCCATTCTCTTAAGAAGAGAGTTCTTATCAATTAAAGATAATGCTATAATCCAAATTTGGTTTGGATCTAGGGGTGGCAATTTTTCCCGTCCCTAACGAGTACTTGGGCTCCCCAACCCGATAGGGTCAGGTATGGGGGGTACTTTGGTGGGGTTAGGGTTGAGGATGGAGCTATCCTTGAATCCTCGATCGGGTTCGGGGATGGGGATGGGGAATGCAATCCCTGCCCCGAACCATCCCCGATAAATAAATATATAATTATATATAATATAATATTATATATTATTTATATAATATTTATATTATAATATTATAATATTATATATTATATTATTATTCATTTATTTAATTATTTTAAAGATTAAAACTTAAAAAACAAAAACACTCGACACTTAGAAGTTAGAGTCTTCAACAAACACAGATAGAGAACTCTGAACTGTGAACCCTAGTCAGTCTTCTTCTTCCTTAGTCTTCATTGCCGATTCTTTAACCGTCGGCGTTGTTGCTACTCGCCCGTCGGACATCAGACGTCATCGGACGTCTATCATCTCCGACTACCGGTCTACCACTCAAGTCTCGACAGAAGACAGAGATACTTAGAAGAAAGAACTGAGACTCAGTCTCAGTCTCTCAAACTACTAGTCTATCGTCATCGACTGCCATCGTTGTTGCTCGCTGGACTCTTTCTCGTCGCTGGCCTCAACTCACAATGGTCCTCTCTCTCTCAGTCTCAATCTCTCATTCTCTCTTTGTCTTCCTCTCAACTTTCTCTCAATATCTCTTCTTGGGATTTGGGTCTCCGACGGGGATTTCTTTCCCAGACGGGGATCGAAGACGAGGATGGGGTGACTTGGAGGTCAAGGTTAGGGATGAGGAATGTAATCCCCGCCTCATTGCCATTCCTATTTGGATCAGATCCTAATTATATTAGGAGAGTGCTCTATGTAAGGGGCTAAGAAGGTAAGGGTATATTCACTAATTCTCTCCACTCTCTTGCTCTCTTCTCTTTTACCTTGCCTCCCAAAAACCCTAATTTGACCCAACTGTGATAGGGGCTAATTTTCATTAGTCCTCTACTGTGTTTTTGCAAGAAAAACATTAGAGGACATACCTACTTCGGTACAAGCAAATTGGAGATTGGTTTTGTTGAAAACGTTGTTTAATCGGCTTCATGTACACATTGCGCCATCTTCAATTGGAAGCCAATTTTGGGACTGATATTGGGTGTAAACTATCACTATGAGAATTGCATATTGTGGTCTCCATATCAGGTATAATCAGCTTTTAATTTGGTTTCAAATTTAGTCCGATTCAATGCAAGATCGATCCTACAAATTTTAGATATCAAAATTATTGGAAAATCGATTCTTGGGTGGGGTTAGAAAATTTTTAAAATTTCAACCAACCACTAACTAATTTGGCCATGTCTAATCTGATTTCTAACCCTTCCAACATTTTTAATTAATATTTTGTCTTATTTTCCATTTACAACAAAACAAAGGGCAAAATAGTAATATACAAACATCTATTAGTCTATTTAACATCAACTTGCATTTTGAAAAGTTATGATGAGTTTAAGAAAAATGTTTAAAAGTCATGCTGATTTTAGACAATTTTCCTTTTTTAATCATCCGTGAAAAAATGATGAGACCCCTTTTATAATGGGACCCATGAATTTATTATTAGCGTGGAATCTCATCATTAATTCCACATTGGGCCGAACAACTATTGCATTCAGCTAATCCTAAACAAATGTAAACTATATCCTATGGAAGGTTGGTTGCATCAGCTATATCCTAAGTCCCTAAAATTCAAAACAACATTATTGGCTTCGCAAGCAGAGCAAGGTTAATTGAAGTCTTACCAATACAATAGTGTTTCAAATCTAAAATCATACCAAGATGGCCTCTTGCAATACAAAGCAATATAACAAAGACCACCAAAATTGCAAGAGGCATAAAAATTAACTTTAATTGATCCCACCTCAAGTAATACTTTCATTATTAGCCTCTAGTACTACTGGATTTGATATCCAATAGCTTTCTCACTCAATCAGAATGGGAGAATGGGAGGGGGAGAACAATTGATACGAGAGAGATATTCATTTCTATTTTTCCACATACACCATAACAAAATGGCACATAAGACCCCAAACTAAACTCGTATTAGAGATCCTATGCCACTAGTCTTGAATTGAGGCCAGGCCTCATTATTGTTAGGACCACATTTGCTTAGCAAAAGAAAAAGCATTAAAAATATTCTCCAACTCTTCCTCTTCACCACAAAATCTTATAACCTCAATTGATCAAAAATTTCTTAGTGCGTAGTTTAGAATTTAACACCAAATAAAGGAAGAGCTTAACGTTTTGAGGGTCCAAATACTATTAAATCTGCAACTACTAGAGTCTCATAGAAACTCGAAAAACACTCGACTTAGTCGATAATCTCCATATCGAGGGGAACTATTGATCTAATGCAAGGGATATTCCACTTTTTCCTCTCATCATCAATAAACTTTTAGATTCTTATTTTCGATATGATGTTGATTTACATCTTTCAGAGCCCACCTATAAATTTTTAGGTTCAGAGCCACCTAAGGCCACCCCAAATCTTAGGGGATTTACACTTTTCGCAAAAATTAAACAATCGTCGATAAGCTGCGGCCACCTTTAAAGATATTATAACTAATTAGTTTTTTTTCCCAGCTACAAACTCTCTTACAAGCTTCAAGGTAAGAGCTTCAACACAAAAATGTATAAGAAAAAGTAAAAACCAAATCTCAAGAGAACCTTCTAGACTTTTTTTTAATTATGTCAATCTTATAAGTAATTTTATTCAATTACCTAAAATTTTTTAAATTAGTTTTGGCCGAGTATGGATTTTTCTTGGGCATCATAGTAATGAAAGTTATGTTAATAACTTTATTCATTTTTGCAAACTAATTCCCTATAATATATTCCAAAAAATTTTTTATATTTAACCCATCCGAAGCATTCAAATCAGAGTGTTAAAAATTACCTGTGTTAATTTAAATTCAGATCAGAAATATCCGTGAGAGTGTTAAAAATTTACATTTCATCTATATAAACTCCAGATTGATCTCATTCGAAACAGAATGGTTAATTTCACTAATGAAATCCTCAACCCCAACCGTATTTCAGATTTAAATCTATTATCATAGACTGCCAAAAAATATTATTTACAATTTGCAATGGGTTGATACAATACTGGATTTTACGAAAAAAAAAAGAAAACATTAGATTTGTCAACGACAATGTCAACTATGCATACGAGCAATTCCATCCAAATCACTATCATGATATGATCCTGTCAGAAGAATTTTATAGATCAAGCCATTAGCCATCTATATAAGACCTAAGAGGTGCGTATGGTGGAAAATTTTCTCTATCAGAAGAATCAATAAAAAGAGAAATATCTTTGGGCAATACAAGGACATCTGAGATCAGATGGTATAATATATATGTATATATATATATATAAGGTATTTCCATTCGTATTAAATGACTCAAACTCCCCAAGCAAGATCATAAATTAGTGGGATCATTTGCTATCATTGGTGGTGTTGGTGTTAGTGTTGCCGGAGATGGATTCCTTGGCGGACTGAATGGTATTTACAACGGCAGCATAAGCACCAGACAACATGCTGCCGGCGCCTGAATCACCACCCCAATGAGGCTGGTGAACCACCTGCACATTCTCTCTCCTCAATTGTTCTTGTTGCCCACCCTGTCCGGGTGATGTCCGGTAATCCACCGTTTCAATTATTCTCTCTTGTAGGTTTCCTTCCGCATCTCTAACATCTGTGGCCTGAATAGAATAACAAACACAGAAAAGAGTTGCTTATATATATATATATAAAGATCCAGAGAAAGAGAGAGAGAGAGACAGGGGTGTTCTTACCTTGGTTGTGTTGATGTTGTTGGACGCCATAGTAAAGAGATCTTATTGGATTCTCCTTTCTTCTCACCTCTCTTTCTTGTTGGGCTTCTGGTTTCCCTCCGGCTCCGGTGATTTTATATAGTAAGGTTAAACAGAGTAATAACACTTGCTTCTTAATCCATTGATACACCGAAACAGGTGTTGGTTACAGGAATGGAGACACGTTAAACGTGTGGTGGCAGCCTCTTGTTGCCTCGACTCATACATGCACCATATATAAAAATTAAATACAGATGCTTATACTAGGGAACCATGCTGCTGTATATTTAGCAAATGACACGTTCGGTTTACCTATAATAGTTTATACCTAAATTTTCCATTTTATTTATAAGCAAGGGGAAGAATTTTGTGTAAGTTACACTATTTGTAGTGTTTTGGGCAATTCCGAAGGAAAGGGAAGACATTTCTACACCTCTTCACTGAATTTGCAAGGATGTTTTTCATTGTTCATGAATTTTCGGAGATTTTTTTCTATTTTTAGGATGCTTTAATTTATCATCTTTACTTTATTTTGCATCTTATTTACATGAATTCATGGAATTTTCTTGTTTTTTATCGGGAATAAATGTGGCTTTTATGCAGTATTATAAATGTGGCTTTACAAACTTTATATAGGTTTTTCTACCTTTTCCTACTTTTCCTTCAAACCAAATATAGCCTAATTGAATCAAAATTTTATGTATCTTCACGAGTCTAGCTTGGCAACACAAATAACAAAAAAAAAAGAAAAGTTCTTGATCAGTACCCTCTATTTTGGCTCGAGTGACAATTTGGTCCCTAAACTTTAAAATGTAATAATTCAGTATCCAAATTTTCAAAATGTGATAATATAAACTTTCAAAATGTGACAATCCGGTACCTGTCATTAACCAGTCCATTAATCATCCATTAAGTGACATTTGAAAAGTCAAAAATGCCTTAAGAATGCCATATAATTCTCTTTATCAACCATCCAAACATTGACAATAAAATGAACAGTCTCAAATTCTAGATTCTTCTGAACAGTCACCTACTTTTTTCTAAATAAAAGAGGCTAGGATTTGGGACTGTTTAGTTTTTTTGTCAATGTTTGGATGGTTGATAAAGAGAATTAAATGGCGTTTGAAGGGCATTTTTGACTTTTCAAATATCACTTAATGGTTTATTGGCGAATTGGTTAATGACAGGTACTGGATTGTCACATTTTAAAAGTTCGGGTACTGGATTGTCACATTTTAAAAATTCGGGTACTAGATAATCGCATTTTAAAGTTCGGGGATCAAATTGTCACTCGAGTCAAAGTATAGGATACTGATTAGGAATTTTCCCCCAAAAAAAAAGGATTCACAAACATGTCTGTAGAAAAGTATAAACTATTATTAAAATAACATACATATAGTCTAAGGGGGCGTTCTTTTTTTGGATTTTGAGGGGGGAAGTTGGTCAATGGGAATCAAAATCCCATTGACCAAAAATCTCATTTTCTTTTTATAGATTTATGTGGGGACCAAGGAAAGTTTATTTTCCTAGGTGGATAAATAACTTTCCCACCTTGGGGGAAAGTTGTCAATACTTGAATGGAACAAAAATGCCCCTTGTAATAATGGATTTTTATGGCTAAAATGTCCATTGTCTTGTTTGCATGGGAAATAAAAGAATATGGGTAAATGCACTTACTCGGGTAAGTCTTTCTTGGGAAATACTTACCTGGATAAGTGCATTTACCCAGATAAATAACTTACCAAAAAGTGAACGGAGTCTTAAAGTTTCCCTGTAAGCAATAATGATTTATAAGAAAATTGGTATCCATTGTACATATTGACTGTTCATTTATTTCAAATAATCAACAAGACAGGAAATTGTCACATAGAAGTGTCCCTCGAGAACCAATGGAGTACCGGGATCCCTTTAATTAAGAGAGTCCATGCAATACCACTTTAATGTATAATACTCAGTATTATGCTTCAGAATAAGCAAAAAGTAGTGTTCTTTTGATTCTTGACCCATTTTACTAGTTTGAGAACAAATGTCATTGTATCTTTGCTGTATTTCTCCTATTATACTTGCATATAAGTAGGAAATGGCAGTCTCACCTCATTTTTTCTGCTATTCTATTAGGGCCCATTTGTTCTTTTGATTCTTGGTCAATGGAATTTTAGTTTTTATCGACCAAGATATTCTTGTTCTTTTTTTAGATTTATATGAAGTCTACAGAAATACAGCAAAATTATTCCTTTTAATAATAACTTTTTATGGTTAAGAGGTCATTATCTTATTTACCCGTAAAATAAAAAAACATGGATGAGTAACTTCTCGTATTGGTGACCCACGGATACACTGCTACAGTCATTATTTAGGGTTTGATCTGTTTCAGAGGGTAGACAGGCCTAATGCTGACCCCTCTGAACAGATTTGAAAAAAAAAAAAAGAAAAATACTAATACCATTATAATGTGCTTCTACTGAACGTCGTGAGTTCTACTTGATGAATTGTTTTCTAACTCCTAACTCCTTTTAAGTAGTCTTTACCACTAATTTAGTAGAGGTACTTCTATTTACAGATGTTCTGTTAGCTTAAGATCCTTTGTTCATTCCTTGACAACCTAACATCAATCATTCGCGTTGTCATGGTAATCTTATTGAAGAAACTAGAAACTAAATGGCACCATCAGAGTGCCAGAAGTACGTTGCCTCTAATTCTATTGAAGTTTCCATGTTTTCTTACAAAATTTAACTTATAGCATTGCATGACAAAGGTCTCTTTTTTTCTTCTTAAATTTATGAAATTCATATTATCACAATAAGAATACGTTTGGTTCGTAATCGAAATCAGAATCGAAATCCTTCGAAATTGAAATCGGAATAGTCCATTCCCATAGTTTGTTTGATTCAGACGGGAATAGGAATGGGAATTAAAATCAGCAAGAATGGTATTTCATTCCCAAGGGAGAGGCAGGAAATGACCATTCCCTCAAATGGGAGAATGCCAATCCAACAAGAATGGGAATGAGATTCCGATTCCACCCAACCAAACAGTTGGAATCAGAATAGCCCATTCCGATTCCAATTCCAGACCCCTATTCCTGTGAATCAAACAAGGACTAAATTATATTTTAGCTATTTCGGGTTGGTGCAAAGCAGTGCAAGATATTGTTATTTCTAACCTTGACCATCAATGCTTTTGCCTATTCACTAACAGCCAGAGCAAACCTTTCTCTCGCACCTTGCTTCAAAGCAATTAGTGTGTGCAAGACATTTCCAGTGGCTCAATGTTGATGTACCATTGATTCGTAATTGAAGTATGATGGCTTCAAATTTAGGTATAAACTCTATGAGAATATAAAAGATTTTCTGAATATCCTAGAATCGTTAGCATGATCATTATAGAGATATAAAGTAGTCATGGGCATTGAGCATTTGAGCTGATGGTATATAAGAGGCTATCCCTTCCAATAAGTAACTGAAGCTTGTTGATGGCAATTGGCATTTGGCAAGAAATCCCTTGTTTCAGGAGTCTATTTCCCCAAGTCCAATTAAAAAGCATTTATTTGATACACTAACACAAGTAGTCTGGATGCATATATCTATGGATTTGTTCTGTAATTATCACAAATATGTAGCCAACAGTGTTTGATAGATGAACCAAATAAAACAACCATAACGTGATTATTTCATTGGCGATTGAAGTCAAGCTTTGTTTGAATTTATTCAAGTTATAGTCAAAGAAGACAAACATAAGTGGGAGAGAGGGAGGGAGGGGAGATGTATGTAAATATAAGCAATATAGACCAAGCTAAAATGGTTTGCTTGGTTTTCATCAATGAAAAGATTAAAGATTCAGAAACTTGTGCAGAGAATATCAAATTAAAGATTAAAATGGTTTGCTGGGAGATCAATTTTAATTAATTCTTCTGTCTTAATGGTTTCTCAATTTGTTATGCAAGCTTTTAAAATTTAAAGTAGTGTGGTCACTGATTTAGAAAAAGACCAAAGGGATTTTATTTGGTCGAATGCAAAGAGCCAAAACCCCATTCATCTTGTCAGGTGGAGTTGCTCTCCCAGAAAATGGAGTGGATTAGGTGTGAGGAATCTCAAATGGATGAATAAGGCCCTTCTTGTTAAGTTGGGGTGGAAAATTTTAACTTGCCATGACAATTTTTGGGTCAAGGTTGTGACTAATAAATACTTTAATAACAACAATTTCTAGGATGCAAAAAAAAAAAAAAAAGAATAGCTCTTCTTGGACTTATAGAGGCATTTTGTCTTCAAGAGAGCTTATTAAATCTATTACCACTTACCAGGCTTGGCAGCATATCCAGCCTATTTTAATTCCCCATAGGGACTATGAATATGAAAGAGTTTGGAAATTCACCCCAGATGGTAACTTCTCGGTTAAAACAACTTATGAAAAGGAGTGTCGGTTTAATAGTGGTGAGTGTCTTACTGCCATCTATCAAATTAATTTTTGGAAACTCATGCTCCCTCCAAAAATTAAATTTTTTCTCTATCTCTTATTAAATAATAGAATTCTCACAAAAAATAATCTTATAGCCAGGGGTCTAGGAATTGATCCAGCTTATGTCTTTTGTGGGGAGGGAGAGGACTTTGACCACCTGTTTATTATATGTGAAAACTCTAAACAAATTTGGAGCAAACTAGATGTGGAATATCCAATTCCTGGGAACTCTTTCTCATCGGTCAGGCAATGGTGGTTTTTACTTAACAAGCCAAATGGTTATTCCAGGGATAATTTTCTGAGAAAAAAAAATTGCTTGTATTTCTTGGTTCATTTGGAAAAATAAAAATAATAAATGTTTTAATGGAGGTTTCAGTAATGCAGAGAATATCATTGGTAGAGCTTTTACTTACTGGAATGAAAATAAAGAAGTTTCTTCTTGCATGGGTAATACTAACAGTAAAAGTTTAAATCTTGTTAAGTGGCATAAGCCCAAAACTGATTGCATCAAAATCAACTTTGATGCTTCCTGATCGATTACTGGCGATTGTGTCATTGGGTGTGTTGCTATGAACCATTAAGGTTATGTCCTCGAGACCAAAGCGATTGG